AACATACCTAGATGTCACGTAAGTTCTTAAAACTGGTTCAAGCTCAATGACTATTGGTCCAAAAGTAGGATAATTAAAAGCTGTTAATCGCCATCCTTCGTTTTATTGCATTGTTATTTTTTGCAAAATAAATATGCAAATGAATTCCATAATAATCTTCATTAATATTAAATACATTAAAAGTATTGATATTATATTAAAAAGAATAAATAAATATATATGCAAAATTATAGGTACTATTCAGTAATAATACTGTTTGCTCATTATTTTTTAAATAGATTTACAATTTTTTTGAGCTGAGTTCTTCCCACGGTCTGTTCAAATAGATAAGAATCCATTAAAGATTGACTAAAATGACTGGGTTTTTAAACTAACAAAATACTAAAAAATAACGAAAACGTATAGAAATGATATCGTGGTGGCTCGGTGGTTCAAGACTTGACCGCTTCTCATGCATGAGAGTGCGGGTTCGAAACCTACGAAAACGGCAAGTATCAATGTGATTTTTTTCGAGTTATATGTACATACTTTCTAAGATTATCTAGACATCACTGACAAACGGTGAAGGAAACCATCGTGAGGAAACCTGGGGTTAGTTATAATTTCTAATTATAAGTCTGTAATCGCCAAACCGCAGTGAGAAAGCGTGGTGATTAATGCTCAAACCTTCTCCGTGTAAGAAGAGGAAAGCTCAGCAGTGGGCATTATAGGCTATTGATGATGATAGAGAAAAAGGAAGGAAGGCAAGATTGAGCACCCATTTGAAATAAGTATTACTTAAGGACTCTAATCGTCAGCCTTCATTCTGCTAGATTATAATTTCGTCACTACTTCGAAAAATTTTAATAGAAGTGAGTATCTTTTTATTAGTCCATCCTGTATTATTCGGATGTATTATTTCGTGTTGATTATCATATTTTAGTCATAGAATATTTCTCTTCATTAATATGCTAGCTTAATTAGTAATTCGTAAATATAAATGGTAGGAAATTCTATACCTATATGGATTTTTAATGTTTATGAATAATTCAATTCAAAGTATAATAAACTTTAAGAACCTACTGTTAGTTTTGTTTTAGGTTACAACGATGAGATGTTTAATTTAATTTTTTATTTTCAGTATTGAATAAGGTATGACGAGTATGATAAGACAAGGGCTACGGGTATATAGTGCTAATAGTTTAAAGTACTAAAAGTACGACAAAATATGACAAGTGCTGCGAGGCAATAACGGTATAGACTCCGTTCCAATGGAATCAATATAATTTTGAGATTGACATTGACATTCGACAAATAGTGTCAAAAGTTATGTTAACTGCATCTGTATATTGACTATCCTATTCACTCGCTTGGACTAGCGGTTATGCTATTTGTACTCAGACATATAAAAAATACACATTCCCCGAAAGAAATAGTTATTTTATTTAATAACAAAACGCGATGATGATTTGATGTGAGATTGATAGGGGACTTGAAGTTGAACAAGAACGACATAGGTACATTCCATAAAATACTAAATGAGCCAAGTACTGATGGTGCGAGAATGTTGTTCAATTTTATGGCTCTGATTCATTGATCTCTGGTTAATTTATACATTTATTGACTGACATACGCTGTGCGGTATAAAAGTCCATAAAATTAAAAAGTAGAAAAACAAAAAATATTTCTTTCGAACGACACCTGTACTATATCACAGGCTTGGTAAAATCTTATAAGTACACAGACCATCGACCCGATTGGACATCGGTTTTTAACCCGTGTGATGCCAGTGAAAGTTGGGACAATAATATTAATGGTGTCTTTGACATTTACTATAGATAACCACTATATTTACTATGAAGGAAAGTTGACCTTACTCAACATTTTTGTTAGTAGATAACTTTTATGGTAATGTAAGCCTGTTTGTTGAACCTTATGATGGCATTATCTTTTAATGGTGGAAAGACGAGTATAACTTGTTTGGTTAAAATAACTATATATAGTACCTAATTAAGTAAATAATCTCCTTTAAGCATATTTATAAACGATACGATGTTTGTTAGTCAAACCAAAAATCAAAAATGTCTCGACGGATTTGACCATTTTTAGAAATCCGAGATAGAAATGAAAATTGAGAAAATATGCATTACGGCAAGCCATGAAAGTAGTAGAACCATCATTTTGATTCTTCTACAGGCATGAAGGGTTAAAATATTGACATTATAAATATTTGGCAACAAATTACAATTTATATATACTTTATTGATCACACAGAAAAAATAATTGTAAACAATTGCAATAGTAATTTGAGTACAATGGGCGGTCTTATACATTCACATTACAAAGAGTTATTATTTTGTTAATGATCTTTGATACGTTAGTTACTTTCGAGGTGGTATGTACCTAATATCTACGTAATGGTAAACTTGGTAAAGTTTTACCAAGTCAGCTGGATTATTTATAGGATATTAGTTGAAATGAGTTCATATGAAAGTAGCCGTACATGATTTAAATTATTAACTTCATTAGTTGTTTAAGTTCCAGAGGGATCGTTATCAGAAAATGTCATTCAGATGTCTTAAGACATTTCGAACTTTCTTGTCGTTTTCAATTTTATACATTTTAATCAAATCTTCACCATAGTTATGATTGATTACATAAAGTTTATATAAATAAACTATATAAACTGATTTTCCGCGTATTTATACGTTACATACGCGGAAAATTCGTTTTTTAAATTATGATTGTTGTATCATAATTATGAACTAATAGATGATAGCTCTACTAGTTTCTAGTAACTTTGGGACTCATATTAATGAGCAGTTGAAGTGGCATAAAACATACCAGTTTGCAAACTCTACCGAGTTTATAGAGCTTTCTTTCAACGTTCATGGCAGTAAACCATACATATATAATTACACATTAAAGTATCATATTTGTGTTTAATATGAAACAATATTGTCGGTTGATTCATCATATCGACCTCAGATTTTATTGCTTGTGCAGTGATATTGTAATTGTTTTCGCAGCTTTGTCCGCCTTTGACCCCTGCATTAGCCGAATACAAAACGCATTGCATTGCGTGCCTGCACAATCTTTCTCTCTTATTATTGAAAAAAATTCGTACTTTCGTCCTCTCTCAACCAGTCACTGAGTGCAATGCCCCACGAATTTGCTGTCTAAATTTTTAAATTATTTCATATCTCTTTTTCTTATGCATTTATTTGGTAGGAAAGAACGAGAAGGGTATAAGTCGTTTAGTCATCGCGACGGATAAATTCGTCTCTTATTGACGTCCCAATGTTTGGGGCCTTAAGGCAGGTTATGACGAAGGTCATCAAGGAGTTGTCGTAGGCTTAGAAACGACACTGCTCATTGGACGACATTATGAATATGACAGGACTTGTAGTTGCTATGTTTCTTCTTTCCTTATTAATATTAATGTTTCTGGAATGATTTGTTCATTGATGACCTCGTTGACTGTGAATTAGTAATTTACAAATCACTATAGTTGTGATTGGTACTTGACCGTATCGAGCCTGTTCTATGAAATTTAATTATGCAAATGTAAATGCGTAGACATGTTGTTAACTTATTGGGCCACACAATTTATGAAAGTAGGTAAAACATTAAATAAACTTTTTGGCACTTTTAGTGCTGTCTATCGCGATATTATTATGATGTCTGTCTATATGATCTATACTATCTGTCTGTCATGTCTCATCTATTTTTAATTAGGTGAGTATCGGTACAATTTTTAAATCTAATTTAGTTTTAATACAACAATTTTTTATGCAATGCTATTTGTCCTAAACAAAATACATAATATAAGTAACATACAATTTCATACATAATTAACTAATTGACGAGTTTAGGGGAACGTGTAAAACTAAACAATAATAGTACAATATTTACAGATAGTATAACAGTGGTCGTAACCCTTCTATCTACTGTCACTTCTATATACTCCAACATTTTAAGTAACCGCGATGTTCCTGAGAAGCCATCTATGATTTGGCTTGAAGAAACGTTTTGAATCATAAAGTTTACAGCGTAAACTGGTGAAGCGTTTGAGTAGTAAGAAGGTTGGTATACAAAGTTTCATATGTTTGCTATAGATGGCGTTGTACTATAATAGTACTTCGCTACGAGTGTTCGTAGCATACGCGTCTGTAATGATCTCAGGTTTCAGCTATAATTGGGATGATGAAAGGGTATGAAAATTAAAATTATAATTAAGTAGTCCGTAAGTTAGGTAATGAAAAAATCTACGTATTTTTTTATTTTGTCGTATAATAAAACAATACTTACTTATGTAAAATGAATCAAAGTTTAGGAGTGGGGGCTAAACGTCATTTCTACGTATAAAGTGTAAGTAGAAGTGACTTCACGCGATATTTCAAATCAATATATTATCGTCGAAAATATTTGTTTCTCTAAGAAATTAAAAAATATGTGTTCAATGATTTAAATTAATCTACCAGACGAACACTAAAATAAAAAATAGGCATCTACCCTATTGTTTATACGATTTTATTTTGTCTTAATTGTTAATTTTAGAGAGTTTTTATTTTTTTTTATTTAAAGGTGTAGCCGTGGAGTATCAAAATTTTAGTTTTTTAGATTTCATCTCGTTAAGTTTATTATAGGTAGGTGGTTGTTACTGAAAAATGCATCACATTATTAGTTAAATATTACCATGTTTTATAAAATAACGAAGGTCTGGCTGTCGTGGGCTCTTGCTCTATATGGTTTCATATGGTAGGTAAAAACTTTAATAAACTTTAATAAACTAATTTTAATAACTTTAAACTAATTTTTAGTTAAACTTTTGAACTCCAGCTCTGAGCCTTAATCAGATTTGGCTGAAAGTTAGTATTTACATAAAGCGACTGATATTTATTTGCCCTCTACGACATACTAAGGGTGACACATTATGTAGGTATTAGTTGGGGTAAATAAAAATAAATTATTATAAATTAATATTAATTTATTACTTTAATTATCATCAAACTTTATAAAACGGAATACAATAGTTGTTCATTGGGTAATTGGCAAATAAACATTTAAGTAAGAATACAAAAATATCGCAAATACAGTAGGCCTTGCAAATTAAATAGATTTATACGATTTTAAATATGTCAAAGTTAAAATTCATTAGTCACAAACATAATAAATAATGTTTTATAAACCATTTTATTTTCTTGAATCACCAAACAAAAGTACAAAGAATTACAAATTATTGTTTGATTTGGCTTCTTTGTGAACCATTGCAGAAACATTACACTTACTAATGCCCGACGGAGGTAAAACGCTTTGTGCCATAACTAGGAATTTTATAAAATGCGAAAAATCCCTAATAATATTGTTTTCGCTTGCTCATCAATCGTACTTGCAATTGCTCAATTAATGTGTGATGTCGAATTACTATAGGTAATTATTTTAATGTCAAAAGGACTAAAATTGCAGTAAATATTGTAAGCATGTGATCATGATCAGTGTATTCCCTGAACAGTAATAAGAAGCAATCTCAAACTGATATCGAATATTGCCTTAACCCCCTTACATCATAAGACTAAACATTATAAATAAATACTTTACTAATTACTATCTAAATCAAATCTGTTTACAATATAATCTGGTTTTTAAACAGGTTACTTGCGATGGTCTACACACACTGGTACCATCACCATACATCCAAAATGCCTTCACCCATTACACAAACCAAAATTTTGCCGATACGACAGTGCAGATTCCGAAACAAATTCATTGGATCCTTTTAACATGCCAGATATTGCGAAGATATATTATCAGTTACTTGTGCCTACGTTGTGAGAAGATCAGGTTTTGTTATTGTACTACAAATATTCAGTCAGTCTACTTGTGATCATTTTTCCTAAAATTCTGAGGCCGGCTTGCGAGCGTGTACAACTAACGTCCGATATTTAAAGTTCACACTTGCCTCATCGGTATTATACCTGGGCACAATATTCATATCTTTTAAAATATTTAAGTAATCTTGCTTGTAATCTTCTTCCATATCCTTCGGGATGTTGAATGGGTTGACTGCTTGAAGCATTTCTGTAAAATAAACAATAAAGGAACGTTATAGTAAGAGGTTTGTGGGGAACTATATTTGGACGGCGCACATAGGAGTATTCGTATGTTAAAATCGGTTAAAAGTCAAAAGTAAAAAATTACTCAAAAATACATTCAAACAATTTTTTGTATAAGTTTAATAACCAGTCTGTCAATTGACCGCCATAATACTTCTACCCGCACTTGACTCTTATCGTGAAGTCAGTTGGAACGCAGTCAATTTTAGAATCGCACGTCTTTGTTAGCGACGCTTTCGTTTGTGGCGTTTCGTTCTTTCGTTATTGTAGTTTCGCGTGGTTGACCTCAGTGAAAATATTAATTTAATATGGAAGTGGAAGGTATGTACCGTAATTAAATACGTAATTTTATTATTTTCTGTTTGTATTATACGTATAGGTACTATATTTAAATTGACCTTTAAGATCATTTATTAACCTTTAATTTTGTTATAACAGTGTTTTTGTTTAAGTGTCTGGTCTTGTCCAGCTATATTTTTTTATAGAGACAAAATTTAGGCTTATACCAATCATATATCACAATAAAATTGTCCGCCTTAATCCGCCATTTTGTTTTTTATCCATTCGAAGTTAATACACGTGAAAGTGTAATTATTTCAACATTGTAATTATTTCTTTTTGCTCTCGTAGATTCTTCTAAAGCCACCAGAAAAATTACCAGGAGAGCTTTATATGACATCTTGAATGAATACAAGGGGAAAAAATGGATGAAAAGTTTTCTTTAATGGAAAAAAAAACTTGTGGAAATGACTAAATGTCCAAGTGATCAAAAAACTGTTTTAAGTCGGGCCCTAAGGTCCTTCAAGAGTGAATTCGAGAAGAAATGGACAGCCAGTAGTTACAAGGATGAAGGTTTCTTGAAAAATAACGAAAATCGATCTAATAAGACGATTTAAAGTAATCTTAGAAGTAATTTCAAGTGGTAACAGCATTGATGTTGGTAAATTTGGAGCCTATGTACATGAAACTGCTGAAATGTACACAAATTTTTATGGTTGGCATCCTATGTCACCAACTATACACAAATTTTAATGCATGATGCCATAGTCATATCTACTGCAATCCTACCTATTGGTCAATTATCGGAAGAGGCAGCAGAGACCCGCAAAAAACACATACGGTATTATAGATTAAATTTTTCTCGAAAATTTTCCCGAGTTGATTGCAACATAGATATATTAAACAGGCTGTTACTAAGTTCACACCCGTATTTAAGTTGTAGCAGACCAAAGGTACTCAAGAAAAGTAAGCCATTTTCGATGAAAGCAATCAGTCTTATGGTCGCAAGTAGACCGCCTTTACATCGAAATGAAAATAATGGCGAACAAAGTATGGAAGAAGACGAAGAACATGAAGATGATGCTTGAGCCTGTCTAATCTTTTTTGTTTTACATTTTTATAGGTTTTTTTAAAATAAATATTTCATCATCATCATCATCATTTCAGCCGAAAGAATAAATATTTAATAAATAAATATAAAATATCATTGAACTTCGTCTTTCATTCGATGAAATTGCAAAAAAATGCGAAAAATAATTTTGACCAGTTTTATTATGCGAATACTCCTATGCGGCGATGAATTGATGACGTAGAGACTGTAAATCATGTCACATTTAGATCAGATTAAATTTTTAAATCAGATTAATCAGATAATAATCTGATCAAATAATGAGGCTAGATTGCAAATAAGTACACAAATGTGGAATTTTAGTTTTTTGGGGAAAATTTTTGGTTTACGAGTCAATTCCATCATTCGATATACATTTCCCACTAGTATTTTGGACTACCCGATGAAAATCATTAAGTGGACTAATGGTTTTTTTATTTGTTACTAAGTGATTTTCCGTTTATGTATATACATAATTATTTTAATGGCAATAGGAAACTAGAGAACCAATTTCATTATGATCTTAGGGCCAAATCAGTTTTAACTAAATTTCAACAAATAAAATCAGCACTAACTCCATAAACTGGCGAAGTTGTTGTACGTATACACCATGTTTTTGCATTCCACCTTGTAGTCCACGTATCCAACTTTTTCCAATATTTTTCTCGTTTCTTTCGCTGGATCCTGAAAATAGAAATATATACATTCATGGTTTAATTAATATGTAAAGACAAGTAATTTTTTTTTGATAAAAAATATTCTCGAATATAAACTGGACATAAAGGAATTGAAACGTTATGCTGTAGTAAGTTTGAACTAAAATTATGAGACTGAGACTTTGTTTGGGCACACACTTGTGCACTATAATATCTCCTGTGTAGTGGGCTAGTCTAACTATTAAGACTTACCAGTGACCACCATGATCGAAAATCAGTGGAGACGGTTTATAATGTCTCCAAACGAAAATAATAAATATTTAAAACGGAAAATTGAGCAAACGAAAAATTAGGTAACATTTTATGAATTACCTACTATCGAATTATGACGACAGAGTGTTCATAATAAACATATTATTTAAAACGTCAATAAGCCTGATGATATTCATGAATCAGACTATTAAGTATTTGACAAAGTGTCGTCCGAGTAAAAGTTTTAAAAACAAATGTACATAACTATTTTGTACGTTGTCATAATTACTTATGCAAACATACTTTACTTGATTTTCATAAATAATAACAATACATTTCTATTTTTTTCCATAAAAGATGGATGAAAAGGTTTCTATCTACCACGAGGGTATAAATTTTTAGCCCGTATTATATTCATAGACATACAAGGTTGCCAGTTAGGTTAGGTGACTCAATACTAACAAAAAAAACTGAGATTAGTACCTGTGAGTCGTGGTATGGCGATATGTATTTCTCGACATCTTTAAGCAGAGTGCTCCATTTGTTGTTACGCGATAAAATGCGGTACAAGTCATACAGGGTTGCGCTTGCGGCAAGTATCGCGAAGCATTCTCCATCTTTACTCAGCAAATCGTAAATGTTTCTGGATACGCGCCTGAAACAGTAAAAATGTAATGTTAATCACATGAGTAACTTCTGAGACGTCATTGGCAATCCAGTGTTGAGGCTCATCAGCCTCTTTGCCCCATCGGGCATGATATTGGTTACAGTCGTAACTGATCTCAGGGTCAATAAGAGATCTCATATTTATTCACTCAAAACGATGAAAATACTTGTCATTTACCAAAAGTCTTACCTATCTAAAACAATGTGACTTAACATAATTTTCAAAAAGGGAAGTTCAATATAAATGTGATTGAATACATTTGCCCAACCTCCCGCAGTTTTAGACTTAATTAGAAGTGTGAACTTGCATATTTAATAATTTGGCGTAGCGGCCGATTTTCACACATTGGCTGTACACATTGTGTGTACGTTCAGAATATGAGGTATGCGTGTTACAGCCCTATCTAATTAGAACACCGCGGTCCCACGAGCAGTCTTGCAACCCTGGTAAGCATCATCAGTGAGGGAACACTAGGGTTGTTTCTATCGCTGACAACCATGGTTGGAAGCAATCAGGTTGAAGTGCAACTTAAAAAATTCTGGTATACGGCGGCAAACGAGCGGACAGATCACTTGATGGGAAACAATCGGCGGCGGCGTTGCTTATGGATACTTGTAACATTATAGTAAGTGCGTTGATGGCCTCTTGAAGATTTAGGTATTTTCAGTAGTTCAGACGACCATGTTGTTCTAATGGATTTTTTTAAGGGAAGAAAATCATCGAATGACTGCTCCCGCCTGGGTGAGGCGGGAGGGAGTGTCAGACTCGTACTGACTATAAGTCTATAAACCACCACCCATAAGTCCAATAAGTCTATAAACAACCAGTGTCTGCATATATTTGTTGAGTATTTGGTCAAAAATTCGTTCAAAATGATAGCCTTGTACGAAGGCGCATTGTCGTGGTGCAAAATTCAAGAATTTTCTTTCCACAAATCTGGCCTTTTTCAACGAATTTGCTCTCTTAAACGCCGCGTAACGCTCAAATAATATTCTTTATTTACCGTTAGATCTTCCGGTAAAAATTCTGAGTGCACAAAACCGCGGTAGTCAAAGAAAACAGTCAGCATGACTTTGACTTTTGATCGACTTTGACGTGGTTTTTATGGTTTCGGTTCAGTTGGAAGGCGCCACTCCGAAGCTTGTTGACTAGTTTGCATGTCAAACTTGTAAACCCACGTCTCGTCACCAGTAATAATGCGTTTCATGAATGTTGGGTTCGAACTGACTCGTTCTAACATGTCCTCAGCAACTTTCATGCGATTGAGTTTTTGGAGAAAATTCAGATCTTTTGGGACTAGCCGAGCAGCAACACGTTTTGATGTTTCATACACAAATGATTAGTTAAAATGGTACAGATCGACTCGTGAGATACAGAAAGTTAGGCGACCATCTTTCTCAGAGTTGAATGAAAATTTTCAGTCACTATTTCCTTCACTTTTGCGATGTTAACTTCAGTTGCAGACGTCGACGGCCTACCAGAGCGAGGCAAATCGTCCTGATGTCGAGATGTGATCAAACAGATGCAACTCAAACTCCGCGCCAAAATGGAAAACAAAAATTTGAATTTGGAACCATGAACAAATCATCCATTCCCTATACTTTTTTGATTGAATGTATTTATAACCTAGAAAGTTTGATAAAACCAACACTAAGATCCTGTTTTACGGCTACTAATTAAGTTTCCGTTAATCTAACTAGCAGATAATTTGACATATTTATTACAGAAACCGTCGGAGTTCATCAGCGCTGCGACGCTAACTTCTTGAGGTTTAAAGTCACAGAAATTGCTGAGCATTTATCCTGTTTTTGCACACGCATGCATGACGCACAAACTTATAAATATATTTTATGAACTATGCAACTATGTTTTTAGGAATGAAGTAAGCTAAAAAATGGAAAATGAAGTCTTGTTGGGATGGACTGCCAATAATGGCTTCATTCTGCCTCTTCCAGGCGAATATTAACCACTGCGCCGCTGCTCAGGATATCTTGCTCTTGGCGCAGTGGTCCATAAATGTCGCCGTGGTCTCCGAGCCGTACTTTGTCCCGCCCAGGGATCACTAGGTGGCGGACCTGGATGGCTCAGTTGACCATCATCGCGTCGGCCGCCGCCGGTACCCTGACTTTTGAGGCTGCTCAAAGAGGCCGGGGTTGTGTCATGGCACGATTCGGAGAGCTCGCCGTGGTGGGCGTGTACTTCTCTCCGCACCGAACTCTCGCCGAGTTCCACAACTCCCTGAGGATGGTGGAAGACTGGGCCCTTGAGGCAGGCCTAGTCGTCTTCCCTTTACTCGACTACGCAGATGCTTGCTATTTGGACGTCACTGAGGAGCTACTAAACAAGCTTGAGCGGCTGCAAAACGTCTGTATTCGCTTTGTCTTCGATCTTAATAAGTACGATCATGTCTCAGTATATCGCAGTAAGCTCAAGTGGCTCCCAATCCGACTTCGCCGGAACACTCGCATTTTATGTCTCCTTTATAATGTCCTTAACAACCCAGTCTATCCTATATATCTTCTTGACCGTTTTTCCTTGGCTCGTCCTCCTGAAGCCCTATCTAGATCCTACCTTAAGTCCCTTCTTGAAATCGTTCAACATAAAACCGATTTCTACTCCTACTCCTTCACGGTTCATGCGGTGAGATTGTGGAATTCGCTGCCGCCTAGCATACGCGACTCAATCTCCATTTTTAAACGACTTGTCAGGGATTATTATCTTTCGTCCTGAAGTACAGCTTTATTTATATATATTTATCTATATATACATACAATATATATATATATATATATATATATATGTAATCATATTTAAATATTTCTAATTATTTTATTTATTATATTTGTTATAATTTTGCTTAAGTTTATATTTTATCATTATATTACCGTCATTCTAGTTTTAAGTTCTTTCAGTAATTTTATTCTGTTCTGTATTCGTTGCATGTATCATCTACACTGTGTCTTATGTCTTATGTTTAATTTCCTTTTCCTGTCGCAGGTCTGCAGGAAGAAATCCCTTAAGGGATATGCAGTACCTATGTACCTCATGTTTGTAATGTGTTGTCTTTTGTAATATTGTCTGTGTGGTGTAGGTACATGAAATGATAAATAAATAAATAAATAAATACATTTTTGAAATATCTACATTAAAGAGATTTTAGAGAAAATAATGAAACAATATTGACTTACTCTTGATCCAAGACCCAGTGCAAGGCATAGAAGGAGAAAACATGGTCGAATTTTCCCTTCATACCTTCGGGTATATTTCCTGCGATGTCCAGCACTGTGAACGAGGTCTGTTCATTGCAATGGTGGTCATTGGCGAAATTCACCATCTTCTCACTGATGTCACAGCCGAGCAGCTTGTAGTCAGTAGGGATGTACTTCTTCAGCATGCTTGTGACACCTCCATCTCCACATCCAATGTCTAGAATGTTGCTGATACTCTTTTTCCACTTTAGTTTAGGGGAGATGTCGTCTAAAAAGTTGAGTGCATCTCTCTTCTGCATGCTGTTAGCTTGTTCGTACAAAGCGGCGTTATTCATGGTTGATTTTTTGAAGATTTCCAGTTAACTCGAAAAGATTTGTATTGATATTTTCGGGTGCGCGTACGCGTGGTTGAGTGGAGCGCAATTTCAGCGGACAGTCGCTACAGAAGCGAGGCAGTGCGCATTTATACGTGTCTCGATGGCGTCTCACCAAAACATCCGTCATATTTTTATTGACAATTAATATTAATCATTATTTAAATGTCATGTTAAAGTTTAAATACTTTATAATTATGTTTCAATCTTAAGTAAGTAATACCTAATAGGTACTAATAATTTACACAATATAAATATAAGTAAACATTAGATAATTTTAAATTTAAATACATAATACACTTCTGGACACATCTATTGGCCCACCTTGTATTTTCAGTTTCGTTTGGTCCGAAATAAAATTTTATATTAGGTCAATCAAAAAGTTTTTGTGCAGTTTTGAACTTAGCACATTCATAATTTCATTCAATATTCTTTTGTTGAATTTCGAACACACAATTCTTAAAAAAGTGATTGATATCTTTGGTTTTGCAACAAACATTACTTATTCTTAACATTAAGGTGAGGTTCTATCAATAATCTATGGATACTTCACCTAAAGTCACCGCCCAAGCTGTGGCACTTATTCAGGCCGGACACAGCCAAAGAAACGTGAGTGCTCAACTTAATTTAAATCGTTCTGCGGTCCGAAATGTTTATCGGAGGTACCTAGAGAGTCTCTGCCGTGAGTACTGTGTTCGTTCTGTTGTTCGTGCTGTGTTCGTCGCCAAGGAAGGCCACGATCTCGGGTCACAACTAAAAGGCAGGATCGATTCATCGTGACGACCAGCTTGAGAAATCGTCACCTTACCTCCAATAACTCGTCGAGTACCGGTTTTGTAGACACAATTATAGAACAATAGGTTGCGGTCACCGGTGACCGCTTGGTGTTTGACAGTTTAAGATACAAAACCAACTTCGCGACTTCCACGGAGTATCTGTGAGCGCTCGAACTGTTCGGAGAAGGTTAAAAGAACGCGATATGGTACCACACAAGCCAGCTAATGGGCCCAAACTAAAGCGAGTCCATCGAATAGCGCCCCTTCATTTCGCACGCAGTCATTTAAATTGGACACAGCAAGATTGGAGCCATGTACTCTTTTCTGATGAGTCTAAAATTGTGTTACATGGCAATGATGGAATGAAGAAGGTCTACCGACGTAAGGGGGAGCCTTTCGCATAATGCTGCTTTGAAGAGAGGGTTGCTTATGGCGGTGGCTCATGGACTATGTGGGGCAGTATATCCACGAGCAGCAAAACTCAACTTGAGGTTGTTATAGGACCACGGCTGCCAACATTAAATGCTGAAAGGTAGGTACATTCGTGAGTGCTTGGAACCTCACGTGATACCATACGCGGACTATGTGGGCCCAAATTTCCTTTTTATGCATGATAAGGTTGACTGTTAGAGAATGCCACTAGGCGTTAAGTCCGCCTTTGTATACAAGAAGTGTAAATAAATAAATAAAATAATGCAAGAGCCCATGCGGGCGGCATCGTCAGGATGGATCGTCGGGCGGGAGAACATCACAGTTATGGACCGGCCAGCCAGAAACCCAGACATGAATCCCATTGAGCACATGTGGGACGTGCTAAAAAAACGTGTTAGGGCTCGTCAGCCAATTGTCCAGACGATGCAGGAGTAGAAAACTGCCATAGAGAGAAATGGGAGATGATCCCTCAAAATTTCATAGAGCAGTTGATAAACTCTATGCCTAATCGTATGAGAGCTGTGGCAGATACACATGGAGGCAACACGCGTTATTAAATTAAACCTTTATTTGATGAAACATGTTTTTTATTCAAAAATCAATTGCTTTTAACAAGGCGCATATCCGATTTGTTAGGCGTAACCCCATGTCGTATGGTATTCTGAATTCAAATTTAAAACAATATGACCGAAAAAGATGGTAAAAGTTTAAAACTGCATCAACAGTTTTTGTTCAATCTAGCAAGCATATTTCCGGTAGGGGCCATCGAAACTCGTCCAGAAGTGTAATATTAATCTGTCAGCCTTAAGTTGACTCGTGAAATCTTCTTTTTATTGTCAATATTATACAACTTTTTATTATTTATAAAATAAAATACAAAATAAAAAAGCCTTATATTTCTCAATTAAAAAGAACATATTATTTCCAAAAAAAAAAACATATTATTTTATATTAAGTTTAATTTTAGGGAACCCCTGGGGTGAAGGCCTCCTCCAGAGACTGCCATCTTTCTCGATCTTTTGCTGTATCTAGCTAACGTACTCCAGCTAGATTTCGTCATCCCATCGTATGTGTGGTCTTCCTCTTTTTCTTTTTCCTATTGGTCCTTTCCATGTTGTAATTATTTTTGCCCATCTATTGTCTTGTAACCTTGCTACGTGACCTGCCCATTTCCACTTTAGTTTAAGTGCATATGAAACTGCGTCAATTGCTTTGGATTTCGCTCTGATTTTTGAGTGACGAATTCTGTGTTGTTTTTTGATATTGAACGTCCTGCGTTCCATTCCCCTTTGGCATGAGATAATTTTGTTCTTAACAGCGATGCTATATTTCGTGCGTTGGTGCTGGGGTCGAATCCCGGGTCGACGCAATAGTGTTACATACCGCGCTCACTGTGTCACATTCCAGACCCGCAACACTGCAGTCTGACGCAGATTTCAGACTCGGCTTCCAGGCAGGTGGTAATGCCCAGCCACAGCCTCAACAAGAACAGTTATGCTTCTGCTAAGGATTCCAAAGACTTTGTGTTAGGGAGGGTCTAACCCCCGTATTTATAAACAAGTAATTACTTGTTGTCATTTCTTGAGGTTAGAATTCTGAAATATAAAATCCTATTCTATATAACTATAACATATAACTCCTATTCTATATAACTTAACAGTAATGTACCTTACTTGTCTAAGTATTTGATTAAGCAACGGTCAGTGCTTATTACTTGGCTATAAATGGCAATATTTATTTGTTGCGTTTTGTTTCGTAAAAGAAGAACAATGAACTTGCATTTATCATTGTTAATTAACATAATTATATTAGTTATTTACAGAGAAATTACGTACAATGTGCTTTGTTTGTTAAAGGCACTAAAAAACCGCATCAGAAGAGTATTACCCACGATCACACTTTACATAACAATAAAGCAAAAGTGTGTTATCGTTGTGGTCGTCGTGGACATATTGCAAGAGAATGTACGACTAAAATTGTACATAAAACTAAGCAGAGCGCAAGGCAAACAGAACGCAAAAGTTCTGAGCGGCAAGGATATACGACGATGTTTAGCACGACCGAAAAGGTTTGCATTAGTGAACAAAGTAATTCTGTTTGGTGTATCGATAGTGGGTGCACAGGACATATGTGCAACAATAAGCAGATGATAAAAGAATTTGCGCCACTGGACAATGAACTAAATTTAGCAAACCATGAGAATGGTTTGCTAAATTTGTACTCTCGTACGCAAATAACCGGGACCGGTCAAGTCAGCATTTCGGTGGATACAGGTTGTGAAAAACGCCAAGTAGACATTCAAAAATTGTTTTACGTATCAGACTTACGAACAAGTCCTTTATCAGTGTCTAAAATGACTGATCATAGGTTTGAAGTTAATTTTACGAAGTAAGACGCCGTTGTGATTGATAAGAACAAAAATATTAATTTAAGGGCAGACCGTGTTGGCAACCTATACTATGTTCAATTGGATCAACAGAATCAGAATCAGAATCTTTTATTTGTTAAACATAGGTAGTTTACATAATAAGGTCTTACATATAAAGATAGTCCACTATGTTTTGCCGTGATAGACATACAAATATAATAGGTACATACATTTGAAATATTATTAGAATTGATTTAAATTTTTTGCAATTTGAGTTAAAATTTGTACAATAATAATAAAATATCTAATAAAAATTACGTATGTCAATAAAAATTGTCAAGAAATAAATTAAAATTGTCAAAAAATATTATCATTAAGGAATTCTTCAATTCAGTAATAGCATTTGTTTAATAATATAATCATCCAACAAATCTATTTACTGTTGTATTTATTATTTCATTGGGAATCTTATTATAAATTCTAGGGGCATTACCAAACACACTTTTGTACATAAGTGCTGTTTTACATTTTACTTGGCTTAGTTTATTAACATATTGGGTGCGTATGGGAACATTCCTGCCTGAGCTCAATTTTGGAAATAAGTGAGGATTTTGTTTTACAAATACAGCTGTTTCCAGTATATACATGGAGGGCAATGTTAATATTTTTAGTGATTTGAAGAGTGCAGTACAGCTGTCTGTGGTCATCAGACCACACATTGACCTTAAACATCTTTTTTGCATTGTAAACACAAGCTCTCTCACTGTAGACTGCCCCCAAAATATAACAATAAAACTATAAACAGATTAAAAATGGTAGGTATCTGTTAAGATTTCAATGAATATTTTTTTGTACCTCTAATATTTAAGGCACCGACTTCTCACCTATCAGTGGGTGTGTAAGTGTATAAGCTATAAGTACGTATGACCAATAATAGTTATTTTTTGCTTTATAGTTTTTACTTTTTGTTTATTTATGTTTTTGAAGTCGGCTTTTTAAACGCAGTTTTTTATTTTTATTTATTATAAGTCATTGATTTTATTTTGTTTTTTATTTGTAAAACGTTGCCCAACCCTATGATTATCTTCTGTGTCGTGGGTGCGTTTACAAATGGAAGTAGCTTGAAACAATATTTCTGCCAGAACCGGTGTCGCCAAACTAATACATTTATAATTTACTCATACTATAAATCGGAAGTTACGATTGGTTAGAAAAAAAAATGGGCATAAACTAAATGCAAAAAGAATATCATACGATATGCAACTTTAAAATTAATGCACTATAAATCAAAATAAAAAAGTATGTTTTCGACTAGCAAGTACCGCCATTCGTCGCTAGATGGCGTTTAACAATGCCATCTAGCGACGAAAAGTGGTACTTGGTTTGAACTTTAACGTCGTAAGAATAAAGATGATATTTGAATGGCTTATCACTGGCTCGAATGCGGGTCTTTCTTTACTGAGATAGTGATGTA